AGGTCAACTATTATCAACGCCAATAACATCTCACCCTTCAAAGGGCGCTGGATTTGTGACAGGTCCAAGTCATTTTTAACCAACACTTGCTGCTTGCATATAAGCAGATGCTACAAGTACATGTGGTACCATAACACCTGGATCAGTTGCCTTTGACCTTGCACTAAGTAGCAAAATATATTTGGCAATACTACCTGGTGGTGCCGACGAGGCAAGTTCGCATGATGATACGTCTTTACGCAAAATGATCAAGCTCCCCAGGACGCATCAACTTCCTTGGTTCGAAACATGCTCACATTCTTGACTGTCATCCGCATACTTTATCCAAACGAACTGGCTTGACAGACGCCTGTAGCCCAGCGTGTCAAGAGTCACGCGCAGTGGAGGCCTACCTGCAATAACTACATCTTTAGCTTGAGCCTGGACCTCAGTGGTCAAAGTCCTTGCTTAATTTCTATCTATCGATGATTATATTTCCGGTTATCAGTGCATCTAGTGGAAAATGGGCAATGGTAACAGCGGTCTGACGGCCAGCTTTGGGGCGTTTCCATGGTTGAGTCGGACTCCCCTGCGTTATAAGGTTCATCCCGCGGGTGGGGGCGCTTTGATCTTCTACTGAAGTCTGGCACAGCTTCCCCGTCTCCCCTTGTTTGCGTCAGGGCAAGGCCCTGCGGAAACCCTTTTTTTACTCTATACACAATACTACAATCAATTGATTGCTCATATTGCTGACGACAAGGGAGACAACCGTGCCATGGGGGACTGCAGTCAGCAGGCGGGGGGGACCACAAGCTGGGACTACTGCCATGTGTCATATCCGAGGGAAAGGGAGAGAGAGTGTGTGTGAGTGAGGAGGTCAGTGCATCTGAACCCACCGGGGTAATTAAAGGAAAGCACTAACAGCATCCTTTGATTATTCCATGAATGCTCTAGAAGGACTAGAATGGCACTAGAGGGAAATTGGTCGCCGTTAGCATCCTCGCGTCCATCCCTGATCCACCAGGGGTTTCCTAGGGGAATGCGTCATCCAGGAACCTGTCCACGAACACAGCAACAACTATCTCTACACAGTAATATTACTACACCAACCATTTGTGGGCTGACGGGGATGATGAAACTGGATTTTGCCACCAGAAGGGATGCAAGATCGGGGGGGCCAGCATGTGAACTAAGGTTTGGGACAATCGGGATGCACGATCAAGGTTTCGCTAAACTTGTGTCGCAACTTGCAAGGAACTGCAAGCTGGCCTTTTTAGGGGCGTGGGGGGAAAGGGAGACGATCGGGGGGAAGTGCAGGAGATTGCAGGAAATGTCCCGGCCAGTCGGGGCTCCATGGTGACCATGACAAACAGTCAATTGAATTGATGCTGCTGTGATGAGAATGATAGTATACGTAGTACGAGGCATGGGTTTCAGCTGGTATGAGGACTGTTTCATCCCACCTCAGCAATAGGATCATCACTAGCACCGCATCAGTATTGACTGTGTATGAACTTTGCAAGGAGTTGGTGCCGATTATTCCGTCGATCGCAAAAGAAAGGATGAGAGTCATTCCCTGGGGGAGGTCAATAGTGCCGGAGACTATCAGGTCAAGGGGGGGGGAGGTGGGAAGCATCCACCAAAAGGAAGAGAGGGATTATTAGGTATTCTGGGTGGTGATTATTCAATAATACGTAAGGCCATCCAGGCAGAGACCGACGAGAAAACGAATCTGAGACGGAGCGCCATCAACTTGAAGCCGCGGATCCGACCCCTGAACCCGCTGCCTCAGGCGTCGGGGCCTCGTTGCTTTCTCTCTCTCCACTTTCCTCTCTTTAGTTGGAAGTGTCTCTCTTTCTTCCTCTTCCTCTTCTTCCTCCTCTTCTTCTCCCTCTTTTCTCTCTTCTCACCTACTCATCCTCATCCCCCCTACCATCATTCATTCATTCATTCTATTCACAGCTTCCTCACTCCAATTCCCTCTTTGTCCACCATGGTTGTGTTCACCGCGGTTACATTGTCTCACCTGCATTGACTTCGTTTCCCCCCACTACCGAACCACTGTTTGCCTCCCGCGTGTTGTTAACAGATTGGGTCTACTGTTTATCTCACGTCACCCCGTCCCTCCTCTTTCTGGGACGCGTTCATTCATCCTTGTGAATGCCCTCCGATTCCTTCGCTTCATCCGTGCGAAGCGCTGAATCTCCTCTTCGCATCTCCACCTTCGTCGATTCTTTGACCAACCCCTCGAGCTCCGATTCTCCCCTCCCCAGTCCCATCCGTCACGATCAATACCCTCTGCTGACCTCCCGCTTCCGCCACTTGTCGCCCAAACGAGCCGCCATCATGAACGAGACAGGCGGCCATCCTGGTGTGCGCAACCTTCTCGCTAGGTTCGAGAACAACCAGAACAGCACTACTTCCCCTCCCTCCCGCGGTCGATCTCCCGCTGGCTCCGAACATTCCGCAACTGCCAGGCCCTTGTCCAAGGTGCGCGCTAGCTTCATCGCTGTCGATGGAGCCACCCAGCCAAACCCTGTCGCAGGGCTTCGCAGCGTGAGTGGTCGCAGCGATAGCCCTGCTGCTCCCTCTCGGGTCAGGAGCTTCAATTCGGAGGATTTCGAGGGTGGCTTGAGAAGTCCGTTGTCGGTGTCACCAACCAGCAACGGCTTCCCTCAGAAGATCACCGAACAGCCCGTTGCGGCCTCGGAGACATCGCAGAATGATGTGTCTGAGAAAGTTGAGCCTGCCCCGGTAGAGCCTGAAAAGCCCTCAGAAGAGGTCATCGAGGAGACCCCTGCACCTGCTGCTGCACCTGCTGCTACGCCAGCCCCAGCTTCTCCTGTAAAGGCCAGCAAGGTCTCCACCCCCAAGCCGACGCCGACCAAGACAGTCACAAAGCGACCATCCACTATCCAGGTGGGAAAGACGGCACCCAAGCCTGCTTCCAAGTCGCCAGCGCAACCCCGTACCCCCACCTCTCCCGCCAAACCCGAGGACAAGACTACTCGGACTACACGGGCTGTCCAGCCGACGGCGACGAAGACTGCGACCCTTGAAGCCCCCAAAGTCGCACACAAGCCGAGCCGGACATCCCTGAACACTGCGACGAAGCCCGTCACCAAGCCTGCACGGCCCTCTGTGCCTGCTCGCGACCTGACGAAGCCGACAGCCTCGACCGCATCTCGCACCACCAAAGCGGCCGCCAACCCCTCTCGCCCGGCTTCGACAACGGCTTCGACTTCGTCTACCGCCAAGAAGACCACCACGTCTACTCTGACCCGCAAGCCGTCCACTCTGAAGAGCTCGACCACTGCAACCCAGAAGCGCGCGATCACTCCGACCGCTTCCACCGCGCGCAAGCCGTCGTCTCGTACCTCCCCTCCTAGCGGAAGCGAACGCCCTCATTCCCGTGTGAGCAACACGAGTTCCAGACCGGTCGACGAGGGATTCCTGGCTCGCATGATGCGCCCCACAGCTAGCTCTGCTAGTAAGACGCACGACAAGGTTGAGGTCAAGAGCCCCCCGCGGACCACCAAGCCGGCCCGGGCGCCTAGACGAGTTCCCTCTAAGCTGGATACCCGCACGTCCCGTCCGACCAAGGTCGAGCAAGGCAAGCCGCTGGAGAAGCCTGCGCCTGAGGTGAAGGCCGAGGAGCCGGCCGAGGTCGTTTCTGAGGCCCCTGCTGTCCCAGAGAAGCCTGTTGAGGTTGTCGGGGAAGCTCCCACGCAGGAGCCTGTGCTGGAACCCGTTCAGGAGCCCGTTGAGACCTCTGTCGAGCCTGAAGCTGAAGCTGCCGCTCCCGTCGCCGAGGCTGCCCCTGAAGTCGATGCTACCGAGGTTGCTGAAGCCGCTGAGGAACAAGCTACCGACCTCCCTGCGGTTGCTGAGACTGAGCCCGTTGCTGAGGCCACCGTGCCGGCGGAGGAGCCAGCCATTGAGGTGCCCGAGACTAAGGAGGTCACTGAGCCCGAAGCTCCTGCTAAGGAAGCTACTGAGGCTTCTACTGAGGTTGTCGCCGAGGCTCCTGAGGTTGTCGAGGCCCAGTCGGGCGAGGTTGATGTTGACATGGGCAAGCTCTCTCTCAACTAACTCTCTGCGGAGCACTTGACCAGTTAAAATAGATTCTTCTCTTCTCGTTTCTTTCTCGTGACATATCTTTTTATACCCTTGATAATCGTGATGCGACCAGGTACATATGCTTGTCTCCACGTGTTCTTGATATTGATTTTATTGTTGGGCTTTACCCTTCTTCTCTGCTTCTTGGCTTCTCTGTCTTCCATTTTGGTCTCGGGTTATCTTTCGGGATCTTGGTGTGGAAAGCCCCTTGTTGACAGTCGAACAAGACCGACGACGTGCATGTCGGAGCATTGCAGGTGGAGTTGATTCGGATGTGATCTTAGCGATGTGTACGGAGTACTGCATCTTGCATAGTACTGGGTCCTCTGGCATATTCTTATCCTTGATTATTTTATGCTTTGGTGTAAATTATTGGTATTCAGTAAATGATAGTTTGTTAATCTTATCATAACATGGCAGTACACACAGCAACATTTCCTACTTACATAATGGATCTTCGTGATCAAGCCAACAGCTAAGTAGAACACAGCTACAGCCTGCATTGTTCTAGACCACTACAGCGTCTACCTTGGGGGAACGCCGAGCACATATTTACTAATAATGCGCTCGACTGCATGTCACGCCCTACACAGTACAGCAGTATGATCCTTCGCCCATGAAAGGATCCTTCCTTCTCTCCACCTCAAATTACTCATTCTATTTATATTGACACCGAATCCAATGCCATTCGATCCGATTTAAAATCGACTTACCATGTGATGGATAGCATCATCACCAGACCACAGGGAGATAGTCAGCTCATGAAGCGGATTTTCAAGCCGTACATGCACACAGTAAATAGTTACTAACTGGGTATCCGGTGAATAAATATGCTCAATACTGCTCTACTAGCTGCTGAGGTCAGATTCGTTGATGTGATTCACGGAACAGAATAGCACGTGCCTGTACCTGTTTATTCTAGATTGGATTAGTTCCTGGCAGTACTTCGTTCCTTCTATAGTAGGTAATTATAACAGCAATAGAAATAGTGAGCACTGGAGTATTAAAGGTGTCATCTGCCCTCTTCATAACTCACTCGCTGAATCCTCCTATTCACACCAACACTATCATACCTCCTCCCCAATCTCGTCAAATATCACCCCACTATGACAGGTATATCATCCCCCCTCCCCCGCTCCCCCTCCACATCCCAACTACCATTGACGTTAACACCACCACCCCAGACTCTACCACCACCACAACAACTACATCACCACCCCTCCGCATCGGCGTCCTCCTCTTCCCGGGCTTCCAAGCCCTCGACGTCTTCGGTCCCCTCGACGTCCTCAACGTCCTCTCCTGGTCCACCAACACCAACACCCCAAATACAATACCCTCCCCAACTCCACCCATATCCCTAACCCTCCTCTCCACCACCCTCACCCCCATATCCACCCTACCCCCCTCCCTCCCCAACGCCCTCTCCCAATCCATCCTCCCAACAGCAACCCTCACCTCCTCTCCGCCGCTCGACGTCCTCCTCATCCCCGGAGGCTGGGGCACTCGCGCCCCGCTCCCCGAACACATCGAGTACATCCGCTCCGTCTACCCGTCCCTCAAGTACCTGTTGACTGTGTGTACGGGGGGGAAGTTAGCTGCGAGGGCGGGCGTGCTGGATGGGAAGAGGGCCACGACGAATAAGAATGATTGGGAGAGTGTGGTTAGGGATGCTCCCCGCGTGGAGTGGGTGAGGGAGGCGAGGTGGGTGGTTGATAAGTCTGCTGGGGGTGCGGAGGGAGATGATGGTGTAGAGGTGTGGAGTTCGGCTGGTGTGAGTGCCGGTGTGGATTTGATGTTTGCGTGGGTGGAGAGTATTTGGGGGGAGGAGGTTGCGGGGAGGGTTGAGAGGGTGTTGGAGTTTAGGAGGTGGAGGGAGGGGGAGAGGGATCCTTTTGTTTGTTAGAGGTTTAGGAGTGATTGATATTGTTTATTGAATGTTTGGGGGGGGGCGGTGGTGGTGGTGGTGATGGTGGTGGATAGGGATATTCTCCTGGGGTGTTATATGTTATGGATTGTTGTGTTGATGAGAATTGTGAACGTGAACGTGAACGTGAACGTGAACATGTATGGAATGGAATTGATCGCTGTTGAATCGGACGTGTGAACCAAAGGATACTATGTAGAAGCATTTCAACGCCAGTATAAATGATTCCCATAAACTATCATGCCATAACAAGACGTAAAGAAATGAGGTGATTACAACTTCTTCTCCAACTTCTTCAAAAACCGATTCACCCCGTGCTCCACCTTATACGCACTCTTCACAAAATACTGCGGCCGATGCGGATCCCCCGGCTTGACCATCGCCTCCTTGGCATACTTCTGATGCGGGGAGATCGACTCCTGCGCCGTCGGCTGATACAATTGATTGTGAACATTGTACTCGTTCCCTGACACCGTGGCGCTGCGTTTGGGCCCCTGCTGTTCATACGAGAAGGTCGAATATCCGCCTAGCGACAACTGCATTGGCGGGGTAGATGTCGACGATGAGTCGGTTGACGTTCTGTATATGCCGGGAGTCGGTCCCGCTCCTGCTCCGCCTCCGCCTCCGCCGTAGAGGTGCGCATTGGGGTCGGTGGGAGGCGGGGCGAAGGACATGCGTTGCTGCTGCTGCTGCTGCTGTGGTGGTGGCCCTGGGAGTGACTGATTTGTGCCGATTGGATGGCTGAGGCTCTCGCCTGATAGGAACGAGGCAGAGTAGGAGGGCAGACCTGGGCTAGGCATGGAAGGTGGGAACGAGGAGAGGCCAGCACTCGGAGGTCCAGGGGGCACGTAGTTCCCAGGCATGCTGTAGGGCGGGGCGGGCCCTGGTGGAGGTGGAGGGGCGGATAGACCTCTTGTTGCTGATGGTGCTGTTGCTGTGGCGGCTACCCCCGGAGGCATTTGGGAGGACTGAGGATAAGCAAGACCGTTGTCGACAGCTGCAGCTGCCGCAAGGCCGGTTCCTGTCTCTGCGTCCTCTGGGGGAGGGGTTTTCTCTCGGTGTCTGATAGGCTCTGGCGCCGGGGGTGCAGCGGGATTGTAGGGTAGAGGGGCGGGAGTTGGTTCCGGCGGAGTAGCATCCTGCTGTTCGCTGGCTACAGAATGAATTCCAGGCATGACTGGCTGGGCAGTTGTCGCTAAGCCGCCTAGTGGAGGGGGAGGAGGGAGGTTGCTCGGTGGTGTGATGGCTTGGTAGCTAGGCACGGGGTTAGACACAACCTCGGCTTGAGAATTGCGAGTCTGTCCATTCTGGTAGCCAGGATCGGTGATGGCTACGTTTTCCAGCTGCTGCACAACAGAACTGACGGTGCTTTGTGGTGGAGGGGGGAAGGGATGTCGGTCTGTCTCGATTTGTGACTGCGAGAGATGACGCTCCACCAGATCTAGGAACTGATTGACGTCCTCCGTCGTCCAGAAGTATATGTCTAGAGTGTGCAGGCGGAATAGGGCCGGTGAATCGTTACCAGGCAGTTGCCATTCGCTTGAAATGGCGCCCGGTGGCGGCGGAAATGCCGGTTGGCCTTGGGGTGGACTCGGCACCTGTCCGTCCACGGTCACAGTGCAGAGAGTCGGGAATTTAGTCGAATGTCGGAGGTGGATGTTGTCCAGAGCTACGGGCGTTTAGCAATGAGCCAGCATAATGACTGAGGTACTACTACTAACCGCCATTGAAAGCATCCTGCTCCGGAGTCCCCGGGTTGTTTGCGACCTCAATCCTGATCTTTTGCAGAGCGCTGTTGAGATATAGATATAGATAGCAGCCCTTATCAAACCGGTGATGGACGGGCTTCGGACATGGCGCTGCAAAGTAATAGTGAATATCCGCAAAGCTACACGGCGGTTAGCAAGCTCCTGGCAACAAGATGTGATACAGCTACTGCAGCTGAGATCTGCGGGGTAGCGCTACTCACACAGTTAGTATACGCTCTTCACCCGATAACGGCGGCATAATGGGCGATCAACGTCGATAAGGCCACCAGGGCGTGTTGAAGAAGAGAAGAAAAGAAGATGAATTCCGCACGAAGCGGGAATTGGGGGGAGACGACAGCGCCATGATTTATACCTGGACAAGAGGGGAATTCACACCGGCCTGTAAGATGCAGCGATGCAGCGTGATGCAGAAGCCCGGCGGCTACAGAGCGGCTGAGAGAGCTTCTGGCCGCTGATTCGCTGCCGCCGGATATGTCACAAGAAACATTTGTGCCTGAGGCAGAAAACCCTTTCGGCGCCGCGTTTATGTTCCTCCGAAAATTTCATCTGAGCTTCCGCATCATCGGAGATTGTCTGCCAGCGGGACCTCAAATCCGACCATTGCTGCTGCTGTTTTAGATTGAATCGATAGAGATTCGAGTGACCTTTAATCAATCCTCTCCCCCCACCGCAACAGGTACATCCAACCCTCCACCAGCTCCAGTCGCCGCGCAAGTTTGCTCACTCCGACCCAGTCACTTTATCCCCGTCCTCCGCACACCACAGGCCCCCGGGCCAAACCTCTTTTCAAGATGTCTCTCGTCAACCTCGCCCACGTCTGCTCGCACCTGAACAATGCCTGCAAGGCCCGTCTCGGCCTCACCTCTATCCCCAACTCCAAGCTCCACCTGAAACTCGCCCTCGCGCTGCAAAACGATGGCTACCTCTCCTCCGTCGTCCGCGGAGGCCCGACTCCTCCCCCTGTACACCCTATCCTCGGCAACCCGAACCCAATCGATGAGGTCGAAGGCATCGAGCCCGTGACTCAGAGTAACGTCGCTACCCGACGACTCTGGCTTGGTCTGAAGTACTGGCAGAGCGAGCCCGTGCTGGGCAAGTTGAGCATGGTTAGCAAGCCGACACGACGAGTGACGATCGATGTGGCTGGTCTGCGTCGGGTGATTCGCGGTGAGCGGGATAACACCGTTGAGGGAATCCGCTCGCCTGGTGAGAGCTTGTATATCTCTACGGACCGGGGTATCTTGGAAGCTAGGGAATGTGTGGAGAAGAAGCTGGGTGGTTTGGTCTTGTGCCGTATTCGCTAAGGACTTTACATCGAGAGGGAAGGATGATAGATGGATTACTTTTGATTCTTGTGGTTTTGCATTTATAGCGGAGTTTGGTCAGTCGCGCTGTGTCTCATCCCATGCTTTGTATGTTTTATGTCGCGACTTTGGGATGGATACCTTGTATAGTAACTAGGTGACTTCATGTACGATTTACCATTTTGAAGGCCTGTTTTTCTTATCTTTTGTGCTGGCTGCTAGTGATGATGGCTTGGTTAGGGCCGATGGTCATTCTAGGTGTTGGTTCTAGCTGCTCGTGATCATCTTGCTCTGGTCTTTGTTTACTGGAGACCGCCTAGCTATGGTTCAACGAACCTCAGGGACAGCCAAGGAACGGGTTTAGAGCTCGGTGAATGACGCGGGAAGACATTCTCGTATCCAGGCAGGGTTTCGTGCACATCCACAAGGATCAACCCCTCTACTACTACGATGCTCTCAACAAGTTGCAGCTGGCCAGGTCATCTATCCACATACAGAACTACCCGGTAGTGTCCGATGGCTTACTGCTCCGCCTGTGAGCACCTCGAAATCAGAGTGCTTCAATGATCATGGCATGCTGCTGCAGCTCTACACCGACCTGCCTGATCCAGTAGATTCTGCTGCTTGCATCTAGCAGTGTCTGCTGACAATATCCTGTTATCCATGTGCATGTGAGCTCTTTCCCATGGTTCCCTTTTGTGGCGGTTGTCTCGCTTTGACCGTTCATCGAATTAGTGCACCGGTTTATGAAGCTGCCTTACGCATGGCTCAGCTGTCGTGGCGGCGCTGATATAAGCAACAGGTTCGCCATGCAATATTGGCGAGTACGGAATATTTTCTTCCTGTTAGAACTCCTAGAGTCCCCGTTGAGTAGCCGATACCATAGTAGTTCTCAGTTTATACTTTCCCGTTGGTGCATGGACTCTGCTGCCATTGCCAACACCTCACCGTGCAATGGGAGGATGTCAGACCCTTCTAATGTTAGTCATAGAATTTGGACCAAGTCTGATGCGCAGTGCGTCTGGATTGAGCCAGCGATGTTATCTCCGGGCTGTCCGGATACTGAGTTGAGATCACCATGACCCATTAATCTATCGTCGATGTACCAACGAGATAGGTAGCAGGAATGCTAGTCAGGACGAAGGGGGCATGGTCTGGTGGGATTGTGAAACCACGGTGGGTAGGGCAGGACACCCCAGGCGTTTGTGTCTGCCGAGATAATATCGGGTGAGCTTCAAAGCAATATCAGACGCCACGAATCATCCACACTCTTTACTCGGGAGGTTACCTCAGCGACTTTCCGTTGGGTCGCAATGATGTACGCCATACGCAACCCGGCAATGTCTCACAGCTTGTGCTGGTTCAATCTAATCGAGTAATCGGTTTGATCCACGAGAGAAGACCGTGGTTGCTTCGTCTTCTGGATTCTTCTTGTCCAAGGTTTCCCCTTATTTGCCTCGGCACATTGTTTGCTCAGATGGGGTCATTTAGGGTATCCAGAATATAGGCAAATAGCCAAGGGTCCCCTCAATAGATCGGGGTGGTAAGTTTCCCTATTCATGATCTATCATTAGTTCGATTGCCGTTTGCACGTCAGTGACCTCGTACGAAGAAGTAGTTTCATCAAGTCAGCGTCGGGAAAGGAGTATTGGCTGACACGGACGCCCTGAGTTTGGGCGACAAAACATGCAGCTGTGTGTGCCCAACTCATCGAGGAGCAGTGACATTTCAGGCCGGGAACCTGAAGCTCCCCGCCCTGTGGATTCTCGACTTTAGGCCGCCATCCGTCCTTGACCTTGGTGTGTGTGTGTGCTCCCGATCCACTCCACAATTTATACACCAAATCTCTGTGGTTGTTGAATTGAACTGGGTCCTTCCCTCCAGCATAGGCAGCTGTAGAGCAAATGCGAGAAGCGCATCCTCGACAGTGGGGGTGGATCCGTAGATAGACACGGGCTAGATATCTACCAGTTGGAGTTTGAGATGGACTGGACAAGCGCCAGACTATGGTTCGGTTCAGCAGCACCATGGAGTACAACGATATGCGCATAGCCAAAAGAACGATCTGGAGTGGAGTAAGAATAATGACGGTAGATGCGGTAGCAAAGTCCCGATGGGGAAAGGAAGATCGGGTCTATTTTGGCCTTCGACCGGTGGACTCAGGCACCCAGGCCAGTCCCCGCCGTCCGCCCCGTGATTCGCAGTTTGCTTCTCTTTCCCACTGCAACCTCCGCTTCATCATCGGCCTTGGTCTTGTTCTCCTTCTTCGTCCCTGTCCACAATTGGATCCCAAATCAAGGCCCAGTCGATGTGGGTGGAGAGCATGGGACCATTGACACGGTGCCCAGTAACTTTATTCCCTTTAACTTCCCCCCTCCCAAAGAAAAAAACAAAAGCCCCTTACCCGCAATGTTCCATCAGCAAATGGACTGACTGGCAATTGGGCCAAGGCCGTGAATAATAGTAGGTAATGTTCTCGTCCTTATGCCCAGCGGACGCATGTTCCCTGCCGAGTCCTGCGGTTGCTGCCCAAAACCCTATGCAGCACCGGATCCTTCGACTCCTCATTTCCTGTCCTGACATGCGCGGTTGAGGGCAAGATCAACATACAGGAGTTGGCTATGTCCCGCTGGTGGAGTCTCGCTGTGATTTACTGCCGGGTCCATCCATGGCTATGTACCCCAGTATGCCTGGTGCAGCTCCACTGATTGCACGGAAAACTGGCAGGGCGTCTAGCTCCGGGAGTTATTGTCTGGCTGCTGCGCCGGCGGACTTCCTTATTGCTCTTCATCGTCCCTTGTTCTCCCGGACGTCTCTGGCTCAATCGATCCCCCTCAACCCTGTCGGCGAGGCACGGTGGAGACCTGGCTCGATTGGCCCTGGAAGCAAGATGGATTCGTTGTTTTCCGTATAGTACGAGGTATCTTCCGGCACGCGCTTGCTCCCTGACAGAGCGGAGCCCGGCCTTGAGCAATCCAGTCCTATTGCCACTGACAGTGGAGTTCTTCATATTTCTTCCAGCTTGCCATATCTCACGCGGCCTTTGAAATTAAAAGCTTATCTGGTGCCGTGGGCCGTCCACCCTCTTATTTTATTTTATTTTTTCCCACATTATCTGCTACTTTGCTATAATAAAACGCCCCATTCTACTCGCTGTCAGGCACCATTCTGAAAGGTCTGGACTGAACAGGCTGAGGTTGCCTCGCCATTGTGTATACCCGTTCATTCTTCTATATAAAACATCAGCCTCATGTCCACGGTCCTTTCACCCTCATTGATCGCAATGTCTTCAGGTCTCAGTTATTTCTCACGAGCATCCGGGAGCAGCGGCTCCTGCACACATTCCATCAGCAGTGATGATTCGTGGTCTCGCCACAGGTTAGCCCCAATGCAATATTCTCCTTATTTTGTTCCTGGTGATGTCGTTGGGGGAAGCTCACCTCGTACAGTGGCATCATGCCCCAACAACCGTCCGTATACGGGACTTCGGGCGAGGCGCCCGTGATCTATCATCCAAGGTACCTTGTCACTATCTTGTATCGGCTTTGCTTCCTTTCTTTGCAGAATCTGTCATACTGAGACTCATGTCACTCATCCTTAGCGCTAGAAGGTTCTCCCCTCCGCATATTGAGCGTGGACCCATAGATACTCAGGCTCCTGTCAAGCCCAACAAACCAGTTTCGTCGGAATTCGCTATGCCATATAGCGGACTTCCAGTGACCTCACATGCACTGGGAACCATTCCCGTGTCTGCAGGAGGTGCCTTGCCACGCCCCACAGCTCTGTACCCAGAGTGGGACCACCCTGCTCGCCTCCCAGCGGAGTCACTTAGGCGTGATTACGACCTAGTCAGACCCTACGAAACGTCAGAGTACCTGATTGAAAGAAATAGTCGACGCGCAACGGAGAAGCCTAAAGGCGCTACTCGGTATCACTCGCAGAGACGGCCATCTAATCGTGACGAGTTCGACGGACCCCATCAGTTGCTAGACCCACCATCACCGCGGGTCATAGCAGCCCAAGGGAGGGATTTGCCTCATCTACCTACTAATCTAGATGTCTCAGAGCAAGATCAAATCCTGTCGTCAGTAAACGACCGACTGTCACAGTGTGCCTTTGACTTTGTTGCAAAGTATCAATTCCCGATTCCACTGGAACCGGACAAGAGACCGGTGAGAGTTCCTTCTGACCGCGAGTGGACCGAGTGGGTATATCTCCTAAAGAGACTGGCGACCAAGCGTCGTATCCCAGCCCGGGTGTTGTATAATGGCCAGATCAAGCAATTAGTGACCGTGCTGGAGAATTCCCTGGAGATGAGACATGCCGCCAAGCATCAATCCCGGCCCATCAAGGATGATCGGAATGTTCTTCAGCTCATCTCAGCTGGCACTCAGGTGGCCAAGATCCTCAAGGATGCCAATGCCATGGAATTCCTTGACCGCCTCTATCTTGATACAGAAAAACGCATCCATGATCGACGCAGCCGTCGCGTCAAATTTGCCAGCCCATGAACTAGGGTAATTGCCAGCCTTTGCCTAAATTATGATGATGATGATTTGAGTTATGGCCACACGATCCTGCCTTCCCATGGACCAAGTGCAGACCGCCATGCTCCTGTTTTTGTGGTTTACCCCTCCGCACCTCTGGACGGTTGTTCCCAGGAAGGAGACTTCCCAAGGAGAACAAACACAGTGCCCGTGGAATATCCGGATTACCCGTCCATTGTTTAAGCGGAACTGCGGACCTTTAACTTACCCTTACGGATGGATTGACTTTGTCCAAGCGTCCCACATATGGCCCCTGGATATGGATTCCCCAGTACTGCCGGATTGGCCGATTCGATGATCTCAGGCCATGACCGGCCGAGATCTTAAACAAGTTTGGTTCAATAGATCCCCTTTGATTGGACGATGATGAAGTATGCCATGGTGATATTAGGGCTTCTTTTATGCCGTTATGGAGGTTTCTCGTGTGTTCCTCGGGTTTATTTGTCTCTTTTTATATGTTGTCTGGATTTCCATGATCAGATTACCTTTCGGCTTTAGATTATACTTTTGGTGCCGTTATATGCTTTTGAACCTTATGCCTTGGTTTGGGTTGAGGATTTGTCTATTCTTTATGTTTCTCCTTAAATATCATGTTGTACAGCCCATTTTGGCTGATCCGGGTGGCTTTTTTTTTTTTTTTTTTTTTTTTTTTTTGCATTGCGGTCAACTTCCGTTGATCTAGAGGTTACATGGCTGTTGAATTGCCATGTTTATTGCGTTCTGTTGGCATTTCAGGCTGAACACTTATATGAAACTCTGCGCTGGCTCTGTGCTTGGTCCATTTTTGAATTGTCCACTAGCACTGATAAAGCGTTGTCAGCAGCCAGACTTTGTGTCTTTCTCAGGGACATATACAAATACTTTTTGGACTCTACGAAGCGGGAATACAGTGTTATTTTCACACTATAGAGCCATACGAGCGTTTGCTGGAGGAAGATGAGGTGGAAATACATGGGGCCACACTTGGTGAAAAATTCACGCAGAATTAAAAGTCTGTCATGCGCCATTCTCTGTCCGGACATGAAAAATCGGCCAAGATTGGCCTCAGGCACAGAGACAGAAGGGGCCTTTTTTTAAACCCCTAGTGCTTCTCAACCAACCCGTGCCTCGATCAAGATAGTCTGGCAATTAACAGACGGCTATCATTCTTACATCCCTTACTAACGAACTAGGTACAACCTTACCCCCGACCTCCTCAAAGAGCCATCATACTTGGCGTGCCACTTGTTACCTTTCTTCAAAAACATACGTAACACAACGGGACCAAACAGAACCACGAGAACTGGGCGACTTACAGGCCCAACAAATCATTGCTTTGGAGGTCAGCGGGCAGCCTGAGGCATGACCCAGAAGGAAGTGCATGATGATCACTAGCATTCTCTCTGGAGTAATTGTACTAGCCTAGGGAGTAAGTATCTAGTAGTGTCTGTCATTTGGTATGTGACAGAGATAATTGTACTACCTGTTACACTAGAACATCTTGTTCTAGTGTTATCTTCTTTCAATAGACCTAACATGTTCATACTACCAAAGTATTTTCATATGGTACTTGGAATTTGATCGCATTAACTCGTATCAGGAAATGAAATCCTAAGTCAAGTACTATCTCTAACATGGTTTGCTGATTTTAACTCCCAACCGAACATAAATAAACGTACTTACTGAGACTCTCAAGCTGTAGTGGTTGCTATCAAACCAATTTCATCAGCAGCGGGTTCACCCAACCCATCATGATATATATCTTCTACTACTGTTCCAGTTTCACTACTAGCACTACTCGTAATCACCCCCTTTCCTCTTTCTCTCCCCCTCCCTACTACTAGTACTATTATTCTCATTCCACCCCTCCAAAAAGTCCAAAAGCCTGCATTCAAGCTCCTTCTGCCTACTCACGGGCCTCGGCCCTATCGGCAGCTCATCACCCCATTCAGACTCCGCCTGCTTCGACAAGCACTCCCGCCTCACCAAGGTCAGTCCCAGCCCATACATCCGCCAGCAATCCCATATCGCCATGCCGAGTGCGTACCAGGACTGTAACAGGTCCTGCTGGGAACCGCGTGGGGACGTGGACATTGACTTGCTGCTGCTGCTGCTGCTGCTGCTGTTGTTGTTATTCTCGCGGGTTAGCTGTTCTTCGACAAATCCGATCATGCTATAGCGGCTTGGATCAAGCCACTCGGTGCTTCTTGAAGGGGACCAAGGCTTGAAGCATAAATTAGGAGGTAGTGGTAGTGGAGTTTGCGTGGCTTTCTGATGTAACTTGCGAATTTTGCCGAGGGCTCTTGTAGATGGTCGACGTTGAGCTCGCGGCTGTAGGTCAAAGTCTGTGTCTGTACCTGCATCCGTTTTGAACAGATCCAAATCCTCATCTAAGCCCTCCAACCACCCAACAACAGTTCTTATCTCGCGATGATTAATGCCTAACCACTTGAACCCCTCCTCATCGTCAGTATCTATGTCCATATAGTCATCCTTCATTCTCTGAAGTCGAGCATCAGTGAACAACCTCAGCTTCTTGCCAACAGATAACAATTCATATCTCAGCTGTAGAAGCCACAACGGACGGTAGATGCGATGCTCTTCGAGCCATGAGGGAGGTCCCACGTCGTGTAGCTTGTACGTTTCCATGTACGTCTCTGTGGATGCACTTGTCTTTGGATCTAGGTCTTCTTTGGTCCAGCGGTGCGGATGAACGCTCCGAAGCCGGGTTAGGAGGGTGGATAGACATGCGCATGCTAGACGCTGGATGTTGGCTGCGAGGGTGATCATTTCGAGGAGGGTTGTGTGGGCTGGTGGGGAATCGAAGGAGAGGGAGGAATCATCTTCTCCTAATAAGAGTGTAGTATAACAGATGGTGCGTCTGACAGCTGGTTGTGAGGAAAATTGACGTAGTTTGATGATTATGTGGAAGTGCCGACGGGTAGCAACGGACATGATGGGGTTGTTTTTGAGGGTGGATTTGACAATACGTATGGCTTCGCGGTGGGCTTTGGATGATGTTCGTGCTGATCTTCGTGTTTGTTTCTTTGGTGAGGTGCTGGGGGCTGCTGGGGTGGTGAAGAGGTCGTGTAGTGGTGGGGAAATTTGAATGAGGCTTTCGAGCGTGATCCAGTCTGCTGTGTAGTCGATGATTAGGGAGAGGAGCTCGTATGGAAGCTTGCTTAGGGGGTCCATTTTGGTGCTGATGTTGTGAGTGGAGTTGGTGGTTCTGTTCTTTGGGGTGAACACGATCTTGATATATGTGAGGAGGAAGGTTAAGATGACATATTCTATCGTCAGACAAACTTGTCATGCAGATTTACGTGCTTTTGGCGTCATTCTATGGTTGCATGCAGTCGGGTCTTGCAGCAAAAAACATCAGCTATACTTACATAACACGTTGTTAGAACGCAAAAAAAGCTCAAACAAAAGAAAAGTACTGAGGATTTCCTCAATTTCTTCCGAACAACGTCCTCCACACAGCTCCCAACGACAACCTCTCCGGCCACCTCATCAATACCCCAGCCCCGATCATCACCGACACCAGGACGGACCCTAGCCCAGCAACACCTAACAGCTTCCCCTGCCTCTTCACAGACGCAATCACCTCCGAGTACCGTTGGTTACTAAAGCTTACCCGAGAATACTGTGTCTGCCATCCCAGGCTCGGTACATAGCGATCCAGTGTCTCCTCAACCGTCTTGCGCAACTTGTAGACGGGACTTTTGACTCCCCAGCGCATTTCAAGATAATTCTGCTTAGACAGGTCGTTGATCGCCCAGGTATCG